AGACCTTATCTCTACAATAAATCAAATATTAGCCGGATGTGGTAGCGCGCACCTGTAGTTCCAACTACTTGGAAGGCTGAGGCAGAAGGATCGCCGGAGCCCAGCAGGTCGAGGCTGCGGTGGCCAGGAGCGGCCACTGCACTCCAGTCTGGGTGACAGAGTGAGATTCCAACTCAAAAAACAAAAACAAAAAACTGTAACAAGTCATACTGATGCGTGAGGTCTGACAACAAAGTTCGCAAACCCTTCCTAGAAAAACTTCTACATACCTTATTGCTGAATATTACTGCAGTCACCTTGGGAAGCTATGCACTGACGCGAGCGCTTAGTCTACCCATCAAAGCAATTTTGGAACTCTTTCTGGAATGGCCATTAGAGCCATTGTTGTATTACCCTTGATGTCCTTAATATCGTCAAATGTCTTCCTTTCAGTATTTCCTTTATCTTCGGGTAAAGAAAAAAAGTCATTGGGGGCCAGATTAGAAAAGTAGTGGGGTTGTTACAATACAGTTATTTGTACACTGCTACCAATGTAAGCAAACATGGCAAGACCTCAACAAATGATGACAGCTCTGATGGCCATTCCAGAAAGAGTTCCAAAATGCTCTGACGGGTGGACTGGGCACTGGCGTTGATGCATAGCTTCCCAAAGGGAGTACTTCAAAAGTGACCATAGTGATATTGAGCTTGGGGTATGTAGCACTTTTTCTAGGATGGTACATGAACCTAATCATCAGACCTTGTATTTAAACTGTCGTGTAAGTTATTTGAATCATACAAAAGGACCCACATTATCCTGTCCCCCAGTCTTGGTATTAACAAAGATAATAAAGGGTAGGTAACAAGATATTTGAGTCACAGAAATATTTGCCATTGAAATGGTCATTGTGATGTTGGAATAATCTAGATGAGTTTGGGATTCTTTAGGCACCTCAGACCTAAGGGAGATTAGCTTAAATAGAGAAAAATGCAATGTGTTACTGCCTGTTGCCTCATTGGCAAAACTTGACTCCCAATCAAAGATTTGGTGTGTAGCTCCTGCTCCCTGGCCAGCACTATCTTCTGTACTTTGGGCCCCAATAGGTATCATGCCATTGTCACCTTTGCCTTTTTTATTTATTTATTTTTTTGAGTTAGACTCTCACTCTGTCGCCCAGGCTGCAGCCTTGACCTGCTGGGCTCAGGCAATCCTCTCACCTCGGCCATCCAAAGTGGTGGGATTATAGGCATGAGCCACTGTTCCCAGACTGATTCTGTCCTTTTATTAAGGCTTTTTTTGAGGACCCAGCTTCAAGTGGTTAAAAGAACCTTGGTCATAGAAAATGGACTGAACTGAAGTTAAGAGATTTGTGTCTTGTTCCCTCTATGCTTCTGCCAGGTGTGATCATGGTCAGCTTATTCCACCTTTCTCCCATTTACCCTATCCACAGATTATGTTGACAAAAGATGCTAAACTCTGTAAAATATTTAAGAAGATTTACTCTGAGACAAATGTGAGTGACCTAGGCCAATGGCACCATATCAAGAGGTCCTGAGAACATGTGCCCAAGGTGGTTGAATTGCAGCTTGGTTATATACATCTTAGGAAGACAGAAGTTACCAGAACAAAAAACAAAATAACATAAATCAATACATGTGAGGTTTACATTGGTCTGGGAAGGCAGAATATCTCCAAGTGGGGCTTGCAAGTGACAGGTGGATTCAAAGATTTTCTTATTGGAAATTGGTTGCAAGAGTTAGGCTCTGTCTGAGAAATTCTGAAATCAATAAAGCCTCATAGGTGGCAGCCCTGAGAGAGAATCAATGGCAGATGTCTAGCTCCTCTGGGGATCCCCAGTAAGAGGGTTCTATACTGATGCAAATTTTCCCAAGAGATAGCTTTGCAGGGTCATAAGATCGATCGATCTATCTATCTGTCTATCTATCTATCTATCTATCTATCTATCTATCTATCTATCTATCTATCTATCTATCTGTTTTTGAGTAGGAGTCTCACTCTGTCGCCCAGACTGGAATGCAGTGATATGCTCATGGTTACTGTAGCCTTTACATGCGGGGTTCAGGCGATCCTTCTGCCTCAGCCTTTCAAGTAGCTGGAACTACAGGTGCCACCATGCCTGGCTAATTTTTTTTATTTGTTGTAGAGATGGGGGTCTCGCCAAGTTGCCTAGGCTGGTCTCAAACCCCTGGGCTCAGGCAATCCTCTCACCTCTGCCTCTAGAAGTGCTGGGATTACAGGTGTGAGCAACTGTGCTCAGCCATGCCTGGCTTTTTTGTTGTTATTGTTGTTGCATAAAATATTTTTTCTTTTTATATATTTATTTTTATTATTATTGTTTTTGTAGAGATGAGGTCTTACTATGTTGCCAGGCTGGTTTTGAACTCTTGAACTCAAGTGATCCTCCTGCCTCAGACTCCCAAAATGCTTTCTTTACCTGCTACATGATGTTATGCCAGAATCAGGTTGGAAAGTACTACATTATATATAGTTAATAAAGACCCATCTGATGAAACTTTGTAGGGCATAACTCCCCAGGATACTTAGAAATTTGGCAAGAGGCAGGCACGGTGGCTCAAGTTTGTAATCTCAGCACTTTGAGAGGTGGAGATGAGAGGATTGCCTGAGCCCAGGGGTTCGAGACCATCCTGGACAACTTGGTGAGACCTTGTCTCCACAATAAATCAAAAAATTAGCTGGGCATGGTGGCATGCGCCTGTAGTTCCAGCTACTTGGAAGACTGAGGCAGAAGGATCGCTTGAGCCCAGCAGATTGAGGCTGTGGTGGCCTTGAGCATGCAACTGCACTCCAGCCTGGGAGAGACTCCAACTAAAAAAAAAAAAAAATTTTGGCAAGACAGAAAAAAGGACAGAGCGTTTAGTCCTCAATGATAGTCTAATCCTCCCTCCCACAGAAAACTACAGCAGTAGGAAAATACTGTACTATTAGGGTGAACAATGTAGGTCCATAACAGCCAAATATTGGCAATGTCACATGATTAAATCTCATAAAACCAATAACAACCATCATTTATTAAGTACACTCTTGGTCTTTTTTTTTCTTTTTTTGAGTCTGAGTCTCACTCTGTTGCTGGAGTGCAGTGGCACGCTCACAGCTACCGCAGCCTTGACCTGCCAAGTTCAGGTGATCCTTCTGCTTCAGCCTTACAAGTAGCTAGAACTACAAGTGTGTGCCACCACGCCCAGCTAATTTGTTTTTATTTGATTTATTGTAGAGATGAGGTCTCACCATGTTGTCCAAGCTGATCTGGAAGCGGTGGACTCAGGCAATCCTCTTGTCTGTGCCTCCCAAAGTGCTGGAATTACAAGTGAGAGCCACCACGCCTGGCCTTTCCTTGATCTTAACAGCTCTATGAATCAGTACTATTATTAAAGCCCGTTTTATAGATAGTGGAACTGCGATTTAACTGTACAAAGATTGTTATACAAGGGTCCGACTCCAGAGCACATGTATTTTCCATTACTATGGTGAGCTCTAAAATAATAGTAGCATCCAGTGCTACTGTTTTTTCCCTCTGACATTAATAGTTGCAAGATACCACCTGTAGTGGTAACTCTCTGTTTGAATATTACAGGCCCTATGATATTCCCATGAATTTCCCAACTTTCCAGTTCTTTCCCCTTAATTAAAGTTTTTCTTTCCCAGAGGGCCAGCCACCAGTGAATATGGTCGTATGTGGCAAGCCTATCCTTGCATAACTACATGACTCACTTGGAAGAATTGGGTAAAGTGTTAACCAAAACATGTTTCTTGTTTGTGGTTAAGATCCAGATTTTTTTTTTTTTTTTTTTTTTTGAGTTGGAGTCACTCCCTTGCCCAGGCTGGAGTGTAGTGACACGCTCATGGCCACCCCAGCGTCAACCTGCTGGGCTCCGGCGATCCTTGCGCCTCAGCCTTCCAAGCAGCCGAAACTACAGGTGCGCACTACCTCGCCAGGCTAATTTTTTGGTTTATTGTAGAGATGAGATCTTACCAGTTGCCCAGGCTGGTCTCGAACCCGTGGGCTCAGGCAATCCCCTCACCTCGGTCTCCCAAAGTGCTGGGAGTACAGGCTTGAGCCAACCGCGCCCGGCCTTTTTTTAATAAAGAATATTATTGGGAGACAGAGCTCAGCAACCTAATTTCTGGGACCTGGGAAAAACACTCCCCCCCCTCTCGGAGCCCCGAGGGTCCTGGCAGGGCGGGGCGGGGATCCGGTGGTTGGTACACCCTATTGCTTCTATTAGTGTGAGCTCTTTTTTTTTTTTTTTTTT